GGAGAAAAACATTCTGATAACACTACCGCAATGCATGGTAATAACAATTCTGAAGAAAAAAAACATAATTCTGATAAATAAAAGAAAATATATGGTAATTAAGCTATTCCTTTGGTAGTTTTTTCTTTCGTATGTTAACGGTTTTCCAGAAATTCTGGTTTTCAAAATTATAGTTCTTATTGCTTCACATTTAGTGAAAAATACAAAACTAAAGAGTAAATTTTACCGAATAAATGGTATTTATACTTCAGAAAACCGATAACAGTCGTTATTTCGGACACTTATACTGTTATTATCATCTTTGGGGACTTAAATGTCTCAGTACATAGAAATTTCATTTTGTAGTTCTGTCACAAATTATCACCTAATAATTCTTGCTTTTTTTATCGTTATTTGTTATACTTTCCGGTGACTATGCAATTTTACAATCCGTTGACTATGCATAGCCTATAATTCTCATTGACTTCGACTTATTTATAGTTTTTACAGTTTGGTGTTTTAAAATCGTAGATATAAACAACCTAAACACGTGGCTTCAAACAGCTATAGCTATTCAGCGACGATGAGTGTATACAACGAAAGCTAACCATTTAGTTTTACTTGTCACCTGACTTAAGGAACCAACTTAAGGTTTTTGCCTGACTTAAGGAACCAACGAAGAAAAATCCTTAAAAACGTGGTCTTGGTCACCTTCAAGTGCCGTTATCTTGGGTTTGGATTCTGATTAGCCATTGAAGCGTAGCATTTGCGTATGTCATCAACTGTTCTTTCCATTTTACTTTGAGTAAGCCTAGCCATCAAATATGAATTCTCTTTAGTGGCGCATTTCGCATTCCTTCACAAAGAAAGATTTAGTCTATTTTTAACTTAACCCAAAGACAGGCACGTAGCTATGTAGAATAAGTAAGCAACAAGATTGCCAGATGCATAAAACAAAAACATTTACGGTTTCAATAAAGTGCATGTGCGATACGGTGTTGTATTAACTTCTTGTTAAAAAGCATTCTAAAACTTTTCTGAAAAAAAACTTTGCTTTATTAAATCAATCAATATCCATTAAATAACCCTGCCATCTTGTTTTTTACAACCATCTGGCGCTGAGGTCATAGGGTCAGGTGGTTGAGTATAAGTAGACTTCTTTGCGAGTTGAGAGTATCCCATTAACTTTCAAAGAAATTCATTTCTGGTGAAATAAAGTTGTAAGTTATCAGAAGTTGCAAATCTCACCTGTGAAGAAATTTGTTTTACACAATTTGAATGATTCGGAGTAAAATCTTCTAATGTCCAATCTTCTAATACCCATAATATATATGCACCGAAGAGCCATTACATTATGACCACCCTCCATCTATAACGATGGGCTCACCCAGGTTTTCATGGTTTCTCGCCCAGAAACAATGTTTTCATGGGGAACATTAGGACCCATAATCCTCATAGAACAATCCCTGACGTCTGTAAGCTACTTGAACATAATTGCAGACCAGGTTCACCCATTCATGGCAACAGTTTTTCCTGCGGGGGATGGTGTTTACCAACAGGATAATGCACCATGTCATAAGGNTGGTCTGACATAAAAAATATGGCTACATAGTTTCTTTCTTCATTAGTGCCATCTGTTAGGAATCTTTGAGAAAAATTTTGAAATTTACGTCTTCTTTTATTATTATTAACATTATTTTTACTTTTCATACCACCCGTCTTTAAGGGACATCCAGTTTTATATATATATATATATATATATAATGTTATTTTAAAAAATCTGGAAAAGAAAATATTATAGTTTTATAGAATAATTTAGAAGTTTAGTTAGAACATTAGATGTTTTTAAATACTTTAAGACTTAACTAAACATTCTTTTCACTTTCAGTTAAAATTATTCACTTTCATTTATTTTTAAAAACCCTAGCGGTTTACTATATTTGCGTAAAGCTTTTGTCTATAACAGGCCTACCAATGAAATAAGATCTACTACAAAAACACCGAACTAATTCCTCTATTGTCTGAGGGTATTACGGTCCGCACTGGAACTCATTAGTCTCTTTTGTTAAGTTTCTTAGGCTTCTCATTTTCTAAGAATAAAAAAATAGCGAAATCTAAAGGCTAGAAAAGCTTTTAATGTTTGTTCGCGATAATTTGAGAAAATCTTTCATTGCATCGCCATTACAGAAAGAAAAGTTTTATTGTTACTAAGAATTAAAACATTATTTATTCCTGGGAGTGTGGGAAGACGTTATTTAAATAATATTATTTAACTCATCTTTGAATATGTATTTTTTTTATTTCCTCATTATTATAACGTAAAATTTCCCTTGTTCAAAGTGCGATTTTTATTTTTTTATTTATTTCATGTTGCCATCAATACTGATTTAAAAGCTGGTTACATGCTGATCTTTCTCCTACAGCGCCGCATCTCTTGCCAAATTTTTCTAGGTTCTTGGAAAAACAACTTGAAAAGCAATGCCACATAAAAAAAATGATTGTTATGGAGTAGCCAAAACATGATGTATTGAAAATCTTTAAATCCAAAGTTGTGAAAATAATTTATTAACTATATTGATATCATAATACCAAGAATGCAGCTACCCTTTCCCCTCCTATTTTGAGAGTTGAGAATTCAAATTCGATGCAAAAAATTTGTATCTCTCTCGATAGTATCTGATTTTACAACTTAAAATATCATCTTCAGAAACAATTAACAAAGTTAAGTTAAGCGCCTCATTCAGATTAAATTGCTAATATTTCATTTTAGTACGTGAAAATCCAACCGTTAAATCAAAACTAAGACACTTCCTTTTTTATAGTGCGCATTGTACACAATTGCTCTCTCCCGCAATACAACATGAGTCCTAGTTTTTAAAATTTGACGTTTTCTATACATTATTTATCCGTGTATAGTACATTATATACTCATATATAGTATACTATATAATCGTATATAGTATATTATATATCCGTGTACAGGGTTGTCCCGAATTCATGATACAAACTTTAAGGGTAGATACAGGACATAGTAAAAATCATTTTTTGTACAGAAATGTATGGGCGCAAAGTGACGCGTTGCGGTGCAAACAGTGGAAATGAAAGAAGAGAGAAATAGAGTTATGGGTTGGTTACGCTGCCGGTAGAGGGCTGTAGATGTCTAGCCGCCGTTCAACATAATGCATCTAGAAGGGTAAAGTACCACTCTCTCTATTGTGCTGACGTCTACGAAGGGAGATTTTACGTATGCCGAGAAAGCAGACATGCTGATTATTGATATTACAGCCGTACAAATGGTAATGGTAGAGCTGCGCTACGAATGTATCACGCACAGTTTCGATCAACGAATGACGGATCACAGAATGTTTCAGTGGTTATATCGTCAACTTCTTGAAACAGATTCATTCCACTTCAGCAGGCATGAAGCTGGTTGACGAAGAGCTGTACTCAGTCCAAGCCAGGAAGTAGCCCATCCAGGTTCAAGCCATCTTTAACGTGGGGGCTGACAGACCTGACTCAAGTACAAGAGCTGTTGCTCATCACTTACGTGTGAGACATCAGACTGTTTGTAAAGTGTTAAACGAAAATCTCTTACATCCCTTCCATTTTCAGCGAGTACAAGCTTTGAATCCGGCGGGCTATCCTCTTAGCCTGAATTTCTGCCAGTTTCTTTAATGCGCACAATTCCCATATGTGGGCAACCGATAATCCACGTGCAACGCGACCACTTGCGCATCAACATTGATTCTGTATGCTTTGGCTGGTATTGTCAACGACTTTTTGATTTACTAATACTTTCTACCGACGCGACTTAATGGCGAATGTTATCTTATTTGTTTGGAACAGTTGTTAAAAGAACCACTGCAGGATCTTCCAATCGCCTCATGTGCGCACTTACCCGAATGCCACGTTTGGGGCACGATGGATTGGGAGTGGTGGACTACTCCCTGGGACACCACGATCTCCGGATTTATCGATCCTCGATTTCTTTTTATGAAGACATCTGAAGAATCTTGTTTATACAACTCCACTTCACTCAAATGAGGATCTCGTTGCTCGAATATTACGTGGGATACATTCGGAGCGCAGCTTTGCCATTAACCATTTGCACGGCAGTACATATCTGCTTTTCCGGCATACGTAAAGTCTATCATCGTAGAAGTTAGCACAATTGCGAACTCGCAATTGTTGCAAAAATATTGTGTTTTCGGTGTGTTGTTGCAATATTGTGTTTTTCTGCAATTCTTTCTTCAAATAAGATTGCTTATCTATTTTTGTAGAAACGTTTATCTCGCAATTTTTAGTTTATAAGCTCGTACTTTACTTGATGTCAAAGTAATAAAAAAAATGAACAAATAGAAAATAAAAGAGAATTTAGATGTATCCAGTTATCTTAACATTTATATGAAAAGTTTTAAAAATAAAAAAAATTAAGACTAAAATGGCTTCTTCCCTGTTTCTGCTCATTGTGTCGCATATTCTGTATTCCTAAGGTTAATTTTTTAGGCAGGTACATTTGATTATTGTTCAAAAAATAGCTATGCTTTCATTTCGTTACGTTTTACATATTAATAAAATATGCTCAGATAAAAATTATAATTATATATTTGCTAAACTAAATTATTTATTTTTATCGACTTTATGGAAAACAAATTTTTGGAAGATCAAATGGAAAAAACGGTTTATGTCCATGAAAGCTTATTCTAAAAAGGAACAATTTGCGCATGAACAGGAAGTGCATTTCCACAGCACGGTACATCTTCACTGAAAAATAACTCTCGGAGAGGGTAGAGGCAACGATTTTACATCTTATTGTGGCCCTAGCTAGATCTCGGAGGTTTAAATAAAGGAAAGCTTAGTGCTAAATATTTTTATTAATTTAGAAATAGCTCGTGGACAAACATGAATTTGAATACTTATAAGAAGGAGAAGAAAAAAAGAATCCATTCGGTTCAAAGTCTGAGTTTCGCCTGTTCAGATGGCTCTGTGGTTGCTTGGCGATGTGGTTGCTACATTATTGATTTTACGAAATTTTGTCATCTTCAAAATGTAACAAATGGCTATCCAATATGGTAAAAAATTAGCATAAATCGTTCCCTTGATCTTTAATGAGGAATACGAAGAAAACACGAAGGTTGGTGAGTGAAGCGAACAGGGGCAGGAGTCTTCTAGATTATTATCAAGTCTCCTAGTTTATTATCAAAAATTTTAATTAAAATTCTTTCTTTGCATCTAGGAATGTCATGGATGCTTTGAAAATAGCATTTCTTGTGACGTGGTTTTGCTTCGTTGATGCTGGTATTCTAAAAAGTAGGCGAAGAGAGAATGAGGCGATGGAAACGCTGTTGGCTGTAGGACTTCTCGCCAAAGCTCTATCTGACGCTGACGATAAACCATCGGAAAATCACTGCCCTCCAATGATGACGAAATATATTCATGTGCCAGTGTACACAGAAAGAATTATATTTCTAAAAGAAAATCCTCATGAAGAATTAAGTAAGTAATATTTGAGTAATGAAGAAGTTTGCTTACTATTATGTAAATTGAAGCAGGTGAAGTTAATAAAATGTAAATATTTATTCTTATTAGTTTTAATCTTATGAGGTTAAAATTGCGGCTTTAAATTATATTAAAATATATTTTGCGATGCCTGCTAATTCATGAATTTTTTTCCACTTCTTAATAATCGATAAAAACTGAAAGAAAAAAACTTATTTGAAAAAAAGATTTAAAGAATCAAATTTTTATTATTAATGAAGTTTTAAAAAACATTCATCTTCTTTATATTTTATTATTGTTATAAAATATTTTAAGACATAAATTTTATTTTTACCTTAGTTGCTCTATTTGAAATATCAATATTAATGTTTGAAACAAAAATTAAATATTATAGTTTAGTTATAGTTGTGGTTAGCTTTTCCAATGATAAAATAGTCTTTAAAATCTTCCATCAGGGTTTTAAAAAAGGATTTCTAGAAACTTTTCCGATTGAAGGCTTAAAACTTCAATATAAAATCTTTTTTTTACCCTCAAAAACTACATTGTTACAAAACTCTAAAGGCTATTATTTGGGATTTAAAATCATTTATTGGATGTACTCAGAGATTTAGTTAAAAATTGCAATTGTTTGTACTTTTCTTTAAGTTTAAATTAACGAAATTTTCAATTATTAACAAATCAAGTTCCATATTTGTTTTAACAGTTTAAAGAGTAATATTTGTTTCTATTTTTTATTAAATATTACAGTTAGTTGGTAAAATTGTTTGATCTTTGATTTCTAGACTAATTTCGATAATTTAGCTAAATTTCGTCTTTGGTTATCATGATATTTATTCTATGCTACTATATTCTTTGATATTTAAACGCAAATTTAAAATTTTGTTTGATTTTCTAATACCAATGGTAAGGATTTTAATGTATTTTATTTATTTTAAGTCTTAATCATATAAAGTAGTCAATATTTTAAATCACTAAGACAGAAGCAAATATAGTCTGTCCAAACTAATCAGAATACTTAAGGTTAGGTGCTCTAACCATAAAGAAAAAGTCCTAGCTCTTGAAAATTGGATCATTAAATCACAAATTATTCAGAGTGTTCACTTGTTCATCTTGAGCAAATCATTAAAAAAATCTAATTTAAGGAAGTATTTAGCTAATTAAAAGCTATTTAGCTTCTAAATTAAGTTCCTTTTAAAATACACGCAACAAATAATAGAAAGGTAAGAAAAAAAAATTTATACTTATTCATTGAAAGTACGTTTTATGTCTGCTTTCGCAACTCAAAAATTCTTCTTTTCAAATTAATTAATATATTTTATATTAATTCAATTTCAAGAATTAAGATTTCCTCTTAATTCATGAAAATCCGTCAGTTAAATGAAAAGTTATTAGAGTTTACCATTTTTTATTTATTTCGCACTATTATTTACGTATAGTTTTTTTTTGTTATTATAAATTATTTGTTTTACGAAAGAAGAAAAAAATTGTTCCCAAAAGTAACATAAGAACATTTTGTTTAATTGAAAAATGGTTACGCACTTATTTTGAGTGAACTAGAGGGCATCGTTTTCTACCCTGCTTTGATAATCATAATCAAAGTTAAAAATGATGTAAGAAAAAGTACTTTTTTAGTACATAGACAGACAAATCACTCTGTATTAAGAGCTGCCGCCACCACTGTTTTGGATGTTTAGCTTTACGATAAATTTTGTTTAGCTGCGCAAGCATTATAACAGTGGTCTCCAAGTACCTGTTTGTAAATCTAATGGTACCGGACTGCCCAAGGAACATTAAATTATTCCCATTTAATTTGCTGTGCTGAGTTTCTCTCGGATTTGTGCGACTTTCTATGGACAAACTGGGAACTGAGAGACATGACTTAAGCTGCACCAATGCCGCAAATGTAACTGCATTTTGATTTGAAGGCACGTTTAAATACGGTAACATTAAATTTATGCAATCAAAATCATCTAAAATAAAAACAATCAGCGTCCAACCCCTTTGTCTGAGGGCCGAGAAGAAATTCTCTAACGTTGTCCCATCCTGTGTGATAAAAAGGTTGAGGAGCACTGCGTTATAAGACTTAGAAGTTCAGATTTACGAAGATCCGTAAAAAAACAAGTACGGCAAATTCAATGAAATGAAACTAATGGATATAGCTGCTCTATTGATATGGAATTGAAAATTTAATGGTTAAAAAGGTGGCTTTTGTTTATGAACCTTTCCTAATTCTATTTTTTTTAATAAATTTTGTTTTGTTTGAAACGTTTTTTTTTTTCATTTTCTGACTTTACATTACTCTATGTTTCATTTTGTTTTGAAGCTCAAAATCTGTAAAACATTGAATCTTGAAGTTACGAGGTTGTTCAGAAAAATATGAGTGAGAAAAAAAACCTTTGCGAGATGCCGTGCATCCCGTAGAAATGCAAGAAATGAATTGAAATTTTTGAAATGTCTAAGAGAGTCATTTTTTCTGGGCGGGTCTTGAAATTGCACTGGAATTTTAAAAAATTCTAACAATTTCAGTTCATTTAAATGAAATTCATGAAAAAAATTTCAAATTAAAACTACAACTACTACTAGAATTACCATTAAAGTAACATAAATAAATAAAAGAAATACACATTAATTAAATTTATTTAAGCTTTTATTTGTACTTTTCTGAAAACATGTTCTTTCAATGATGATAATTTAAAAAAAAAATTTTTTTTAATCTTTCCCTTAAAATAGTTAGAATGAAACAAAACCCTTTTCTTTTTCAACCGAGATAATTAAATATACAATCCTTTTTATCTCTTCGCAGTTAATTAAAAGAAAAAAACGATAATAATACAAATTAGTTTACTTTTTTATAGTTCCAGAAAAGCGAAGATTATCATATTTTAAATATATGTCGAAAAAAAGCCCCTTTATAAATTTAAATTAAAAGCAATAATATGATTGACGTTATAAAAAGAAAGATATATTTAGAAGAAAATATTCTTTTGAAATAAAGCAATCCTTTCTTATAAGCTTACGTATTTATTTTAAAGTACATAATTAAAAATTATTTCAAATACAATTCCCTTCTGTTTCTTAATTTGTTTTTTTAAATTTATTTATTTACTTATTTATTTGACTTTTTTTATTTGTTTGATACGTTTCTTTATTTATTTATTACATTATTTAATACATTATTTATACATCATAATGCTATTATATTTTCTCGCCATTCTCATACACTTATTTATTTTTTCAAATAAGATAATTTTCTTATGCATTTCGTATTCCTTTTAAATAATAGTTTAATTTTTAAAACTTATTTAATTTCTTTTGTTTCAGATTATGCTTCCAGCAAAGAAATGTGGAAAAGAAGAGACAGTGAAGAAAACATGGTATCTAAAGAGGCAGATACAACTGTGAAAATAACCGAAGAAATAAAGAAATGAAATTAGTTTAAGCAAGAATCGGTCATATAATCAATACGTTAAATCCTCAGAGTCATAATATAATACTGAGCATTAATCATAATATATATAACAAGATCAAATTAGTCTTCTAAGATTCAGATTGTACATTATCATCATAGATATACTTTATTTATCTTTAATTTTTAGATAAAGAAAATTAATCTATTTTACAAAGCTATGATATTAACTTAATTAATGCTGGATAGTTTCATTGATAGTGATTGATCTTCAGGATTTTATAGATTGTCAGTATGGCCATTAATGAACAAAATATGGATTATTTTGATTAAGGTAATTCAATTACCATCTTATTTTGTTTTTAAAAAAGTATGTTTTTCATTTTTTATGCAAAATAAAGCTTCTTTAAGAATTTTCTTCTGAATTTTAATAAACCTCTACTCGGTTTTAGCTACTATTAGGAATTTCTTTAACAGCATTTTCTTATTTTTTGCTATATTTAAATTTTTCTTTTTTGCATATATTGCTTTAAATATAAAATCACTTTAAAAAACTGTAATATAGCAATAAAAAAGCACTCTTGAACTATATTAAAGAATTCGCATTTACGTGTACCTTCCAAAAAACTCAAAGGATCTTTGTGGTAAATTTTGATTTTTCATGAAAAACTATAAATAAATCTCATTGAGCAGTTTGTAGAACAAAATACCTCATATTAAAAATATAATTTTTTGTATAATATGTTGATCTTTATGTAAGCCATTATATGTGCTGTGCTTTTTAATGTCAAAGAGCAAGTGTTGACATTTGCTATAAATTTTACGAAGCCAAACTACTATATCATATATTATACATTTATAATTTTACATGTTTATTCATTTAAAACTGCAGTGTAAACCCCTATTTGTGAAAATATGCTCATTTTGTTTTAACTCATTTACTCAGGATGGTCCGAGAAAAAAAAGGACCATCCTGAATAAATTTTCAAATAATGATCTGATCTTCACGTTCTAGGACTTAATCTTAATGGTTCGAGGGGTTGACCTCAAATGTGTTAAATCAAATTAGTGCAGAAATAATTTTAAGTTACGAAATAAAGCACAAAAACGCACTTCTTTGAATAAATATACCATTTTTTCAACGATTTGGATTTCCGATCCCCAAAATATAGGGGATAGCCGCAATCTGGGAAATATGATCCCCATAGTTTGGTCAGGAGAGAGATCCAAAGTTTGGACCCTTTAATGGTAATTTTGCTGTTGAGTTTTACGAGATTTTTAAACGAAATGAATAATTTGTACACACCTTATAATAATTCCATATAGATGATTCCATGCAAAAAATTAAAATGCAGAAATGAAAAAAAATTGAATTGTAAGGCATACACTTCTTTTAAAGCGTTTTAAAACATGTAATTTTACATGGCAAAATACAAAATTTGAGAGAAATCGATAGAATAATTCCTCGAAATTTAAATGCACCACTTTTTAAAAATTCGATTTCTTAGGAACTGTTCAACTGGTTTTGCTCAAATTTTGAATTATGATATGAAAAATTACGTAAAAAATTTTATACCTCAGTATTTCTACTAATATTAAATAAAATAATAAAAATGATAAATATTTTTTGAAAATACCATTTTTGCATGGAATTATCTTTCGGTAAACGGATTTTATAATTGTGTGCAAAAATTTGTTTAATTCGCATAAAAAGTTCTCGATATACGGAAAAATATTCAAAAAATTAAATTAACATTATGAGGTTCAAACTTTTGATTGCTTTTCTGACCAAACTATGGGGACTATATTTCCCAGATTACGACTACCCTCTATATTTTTGAGGTCAGAAATCCAAATCTATCGTAAAAATGGTATGTTTTTTTCAGAAAAAATGCGTTATTTTAATTAGCATATTTGAGGTCACCTCCTAGAACTATCAAGATTGAGTTCTAGAACGTGAAGATCCTATCATAGATCAAAAATTATTCAGAGTCTGTTTTTTTTTTTCTCGTTACTTTTCTTCTTGGCTCACTGTACATACTCATTTGTTGAGCTCATACTCATTTTATGTTGATCTTTTTCGATCAAAATGTTTCCTTTCATACACTTGCGTTTAATTATAAATAATTGCTAAAATTGTCGGGATTTAAATTGGTATTTAAGCTTAGATAATTTGAACAATATAATACTTATTTATTCACTGATGCGTTTTTCTGAGCAGCCACAGCTTTGATTTAATTCTTCTTGAAACTAGGCACTGAAATTATCTGTTCTCAAAAGAATTCCTACGAACAAGTGGATATTAAAGTTATGCAGCAATACTTGTATTTTCTGTTTCAACAGAAATCAAGATCATAAGCTAAATTGTGTCACAAAGCAGTGTTGTTATTTATATTTAAAACTATTCATTGTCATTAAAACCTTTTAAGTGTCACAAAAGATACATAATGGTGGGAATAGACAAGCCATTTACACATTATTATATCTTGGATGAGCTGAAGTAAAATTATGTCACTGAATTGATTTAACAACTAATGTGCAACAAGTTGAAAAAAATTATTTGTAGGGAAATAAATTAACTTAATTTTAAAAGTGCCTTTTTATACCACTTGGTAGAAATAGTATTATTCTGATATCTGCATATTACATTATGTGCAGAAAACATTGCAATACTTATTGATCCTAATATAATTAAATTATTGATTAACTTTTAGAATATTTTTTATGAACATTTCGTGTAAATTGAACAAACAGTGATATAACTATAAATTGTTTATGTATTGATATTTTGTATGATTGATACTTTGTATAAATTGAACAACAAACACTATAAATTAATCAAATTTCTGTCCTTATGGTCCTTTATTGGACAATGCTGCAGTATGATTATACATATAGTTGAAAAAATCTACTTTGTTGTCAATAAAGTGAAAAATTGTTTGTAGTTTTATCTTGGATTGTATGTAATTGGCAACATTAATCATGGCAGCGTTATATTATCATGATATCGTCACATATTTCCATAATTATGCATAAATTAAAAATAATTTTGAAGGCCCAAACTTTAAACCAATTTCAAAACTAAATTGTCATGACATTATTTTAGACAAAGATGTTTCAAACTTTATTTTAGAAGCTATGAAGCAAAATGCTCCCAAATATGCGTTTATTTACACACTCAAATATTTTTGTCAAAATTTGTTGTGCATTCGTGTGCATTATCAACTACAAAACTTAAAAGAGTTAGGAATTTCTTTCATTATCATGTAAGGTGCAAAATTTATTCTTGATAACTAAATTGTAAACATTATTAAACAAAGAATATCAAAATTTAATTAAAAGAAGAAAATGAATGAAGAAAAAATTGAAGAACAGTTACAGTTAATTCTTAACGTTATTCTGAAAAAAGTTTCAGTACATCATACGGAAAAAATCGATTTTAATTTAAAATATTTCAATCAAATCCTTCTCGGAATGAGTTTTATCAACTGATTGTAGTCAAATAAATTATTATCACAAGAAATTTCATTACCAATACTTGATTGCATCATTGATCACACCAAGAAAGAACCTTTTCAACTTGTTTTTCCCTCCTCCTTTTCAATATTTTAATTTTTTTCGAAGTTGCAAGTTTGATGGCTTTTAGAATAACTAGGGTCAGTAATTTTTGATTTGAAGCAAAAATTATTATATTAATGAGGAAAACAGAGAAAATAAGAACTAATAAAATATAATATTAAAAATTAATTATGTAAAAATTGTAAAATTTTCAATAAAGTCATTTTTAAAAGTGTAAAAATTATTATTTTTTGGCGAATAAATATACTATTAAGTACACGAATACAAAGCACAACGCAACATGTGAATTGGAACTTACAAAATTAAAATTTAAAAATTTTTATACCAGATATTTTCAGTTATTACATTTGAATACCAAGTATTTAGAATTCTATAACACGCGTAGAACAATAAAATTAATACAAAATTTTTTTAATGCTCGGAATTCGAAACGAAAAAACTCTTTTCCTAACAATTTTGTAATTTCCAAACATATTTCTAGGCGACAAATTTGACTCCCATGCTTATGATTCGAGTAACATTTGTAGAACATTTGGCGAAAACTTTCGCCATACCAACATACACCCTAAATGAAGTAATGATCAAAGTAATACTTGCTTATATTTTTTTGATTTTCGTAAACAGCTTTAATAAAATACGCAAAATTTGGAATTAACATTGAATAATCCACACTTTCAAACGCATTCTGACATTGATTACTGAGTTCTTTTCCAGGTAACCTTTCTAATTTTGAGGGTAAAAATTCCACTCTGTGAAACGAAGCTATTTTTAATCAAAAACGTATAGTTTTGTGGGGGAGCTTGTAGCTTAAAATATCATCTGTGCAAACTTATTAGTTAATTAATTAGTTTAAAAGTTAGCCCTTCTAACCATTAAGAATGCATTAAGTACATGATAATCCGGTCATTAGATCAAAAGTTAAAGAAGTTAAAGTGTTCAGATTCTTTATCTGCGTGTCATTTATAGATTCATTGTTCACAAACGTATTTTTTTAGGAAAAATGAATTCAAAAATTTTATTAAAATGAGAAAAAATAGCATTTTTAGGGATATTTTTTCACCACTAAAATTTATTTACTCTAAAACCTCCATTCCACTCCTTATCTATAAAGTAATTTAATAAATCTTTATTTTTCTCATTCTCAGTATTACTGTAAATTTGCAAATTCTTCATTGTTCAAGCTTAAAAAGTTAAAACACTTTAGATTTTGAAAACCAAGGCACTTTATTGAATAGTGAATAACCACTTTAGTGGTACAGCTGCAGCACATAACTACAGCAACGAAAATAAGCTTAATTTTTCCTTTAGCAATAAAAAGCTTCTTACATTAAATTCTTATCCTCAAAAAATCCTTTTCATCCTCACATTTATCTTCATCGCAGTCAAATTCAAAATTTTTTTAAATTAAACTACAAAAATCTAAAAGTTCTTTTGCATTTAATACTTCACTGTGTCAATGTAATCTTTA